GAAGAGCATGACCTCTGTGGCATGTGTCTCCAGACTAACCCCAACCAAGCCAACGGTAACCACAGCGCCGAAGGAGCCAACCAAAGAAACTCAATAAAATGTCTAGTCACGCTCTTCTAAGCATCAGGGGCAGAAGCAATAGAGACTGAAGAAGCATCACAACCCCGAGAAAACAAGAGAGCAGATGACCAAAGGCAGCAGATGGGGGGGGGGGGTGACAAAGAGCCAGTGCAATGCAAATGAGGCCTGGCACTCAGGAACCGGCTGCACTCCCAGCAGAGCCTCAGTGTGGACGTGTGTGTGTGTGTGTGTGTGTGTGTGTCTCGCATGCTTCAGGGCTTCCCTGCCACTGTCAGCTTCCCCGGGTTTGGAACCACTAGGAATCACACATCTGGACACATCTGTGGCGTTTCCAGAGAGGTTCACTGAGGGAGGAAGACCTAACCTGAAGGAGGCTCATCCCGAGCAAAATGAGGAAAAGTGACAGTCGGCAGAGTGCCCACATCCCCTCTTCTTGGCTTACTGACCTGCCCAGATGTGGGTGAGTGCCCTCACACTCATTCCTACATCACGGTCCCCAGATGTGAGCGGGACCCTCACATGCCTACATGATGGACTCCAGCTGTTCCCACCATCAGGCCTTTCCTGACTCAATAGGCTGAAGTCTCAAGCCATGAGCCAGAGTAAACTCCTCCTCTCCTGGATCATTTCTTCTAGGGTTTTTTGTCATAACAGTGAGAAAAAGAGCCAACACAGGCACAGTATTTAAGGAAATGGAATAGGGCAGAATTCTCTGCGCCATCTTAACAACTCCTCCGTACAAGCACCTGGGTCCCAGAGTCTTAAGATTATTTCTTGAGAACAGAGTGTGGGCATGGCGTTCCATACAGTGATCCCCACATGTGGAGGTGGGGACAGGGCTGTCAAAGCCAGGACACCCTCGGCTACCTGTCAGATTGAGCCCACCCTGCACTATACAAATCTCCAAATAAAACAGTTTTTCTAAACCCCCATGTAAGTAGACTAAATAAAACAATGCAATTTGTGAAGAACTTTAACTCACTTCAGACAAAACCACTCTGTTTCCCTTCCCATCATGCCCCATGTGCGGTTTCCACTGAAATAACTGTCCACCAGGCTTTGAGGAATGCCGGAACCTTGTTTAGTCACAACTTGGTTTTCTCTGCTGCTAGGACAACCGAGAAGCCACGGTCCTCCAAGACAGACCACCCCTTCCTCGTCAGATCACTGGTCCTTGCTTGCAGATCATCCGGGCTGCCGGACAGCTGACGCTCCTGAGGGATGTCAGGGTTCTGAGCGGCCAGCCAGTGGCCTCCATTTCCTGACTGCGAGTGGCCTGGAGGTCTCCAGGAGGAAAATGAGTACACAGACTGGGGAAGGCTAAAGTCAGGGGACCCCATCTGCCCAGACACGAGGGGTCACCCACGCCTGGTGCAGACCTAAGGTACCCACATTCCTACCAGTAAGCCCACCTCCACCCTCTGGACACGAGTCACTGGTTCCCCAAGGGGAACTCTGGTAGCCACTGGAACTTGAGAAGGAAGGGGTAAACATTGCCTAGATGCCCACTCCCCCCAGGGAAAAGTGTCTCCTGACACATCCACGGGAAACTTCACAATTGTGCACAGTTGGGAAAATCGTTACTTTAGCCAATATGGAACTTTGGTTCCAGAAGAGTTAATCCCTGAGAACTGGAGGGGCTGAGCTCAGTCACATCTCTAGCTGAGCAATGACGACTGAGTTAACCTGAGAACAGGTCAACGCACAGCTCAAAGCAGGGAGCTCAGGTGACTTTGGCCTTTGCAGCATCTAAGGAAGGAGCAATGCGGCTCTGGAAACTCGGCAGAGGAGTCAGGATGAAGTGCTGGGCTCGAGATTCCCATAGTCAGCTCTAGGGCGGGCAATGGTTTCTAGAGCTGGAGAGGACGGCGGGACAGACAGACAGAGAAGAGGACAGATGTGCGAACAGGGCTGCACAGCAAGCTGCCCACAGCGACGCTTTGGAGAGAGTTTGCTCCCAGCTGTTGAGGAAACCAGGACAGAGGCCAGCCGAGCTCTAGACTTCTGCCGGACTCTACCCCAATGAGGACCGACAAGTCAGAGGCCTGGGTGTTCAGACTGGGCGTCGGGTCACCGCTGGGAGGATACCCTTCTCTGCTGAAAAGTGGAGGGATGCAGGCTCTGAGGGCCAAGCAGCAGGAAGGTGAGCCAAGAGCAAGACTGCAGGCCAGCCAGGCCCCAGCTGGCAGAGCAACTCACCTTGAACGCCTGCCCACTGGATAAAAAGGAAGCAGGCGCCTGAATCTGGCTTCTCCTGGGCACAGAGCTGTTAGCAGCAAGACCCTTCATGGTCTCCTCAGTGACCTGCACTTTCACACACCTGCTTTGGGTAGGGCAAATCCCACTGAGAACAGAGGAATCCGGCTGCTGGGATCACAGAACAGAGACCTAGGACGCCCCTGGGACCCAAGGGTGATCACGTGATTCCACAGAGAGCCTGGATATCTCAGCCCGCAGTATCCAATGGCATACAGTATCCAATGACCATTTTCAGGCGCAGAGAAAGAGTCTTCTATGGGTAAATCTCAAATGACTGAGAAACAAAAATAAAACCAAAGAAAATTCTTCCCAGAAGAGGGTGGACCAGGGGTAGAGCCAAACGTGCTTAAGAAATAACTTGACTGCATTTGTGTACTGACACAAAATGCGTCTGCGATGGCTGTCCCTAGGAAGACGGCAAGTCTAACAAATGCTCACCAGCAGGCATTGTTCTTGCTGTCTAGCTCAGCTCTCGTGGGACAGTGACAGAAGCCCCACAGCCTCCAGATAGGTGGCACCCTAGATGACACAGCCCTCAGACAGTACAGTCAAAGCCCGACATTCATGCGTGCCCCAGACAAACACTGCTGTCCCAGTTTGACTTCAGACTCGTCTCTTTTGAACTTTCTAAACATGACTCCAACAGCACAGGGGATAGTGTGAGAATGAAGAAATGGGATTACAAAAAGTTAAAGTTTTCACACAGCAGAGAAAAGTACCATCAGAATGAACGGAATGAAGGACAATCTTTGCCAGCTGTACCTCAGACAAGGAAGTTAAAGTTTATAATTCATGCCAGATGGTGGTGGCACACACCTCTAATCCCAGCAGAGGCAGAGGCAGGGGTTCAGGAGTTCAAGGCCAGCCTGGTCTACAGAGTGAGTTCCAGGACAGCCAGAGCTACACAGAGGAATCCTGTCTAAAACAAACAAACAAAAAATTTTAAACATGTTATATAAACATGACACAAGCCAGGGTCACTGGAGAGGAGGGGAAGTCCATGGAGAAAATTCCTAAATCAGGCCGTGAGCAAGCCTGCAGGGCATTTTCTCAATTACGATTGATGGGGGAGGGCCAGCCCACTGTGGTCGGTGCCACCCCTGGGCAGGTGGTCCTGGGTTCTGTAAGAAAGCAGCTGGCAAGCCGTGGGGAGTAAACCAGTAAGCAGCACCCTCCATGGCCTCTGCATCAGCTCCCGTCTCCAGGTTCTTGCTCTGAGTCCTGCCTGACTCCCTTCATGCTGCAGCGTGACCCTGTCCTGAGTCCCTGCCTGACCCCCTTCATGCAGCAGCGTGACCCTGTCCTGACCCCCTTCATGCGGCAGCGTGACCCTGTCCTCCCCAGGTTGCTTCTGGTCATGGTGTTCATCGCAGCGACAGAAACCTAAGTTGGCCATTAAGTGAGGTAGCCCGGCTCAGAAAGGTGAAAGTCACATGTTCTCCCTCACAGGCAGATCCTAGCTTTGTATGTTTGTTTGTATGCTGTTGTCATGCTGCCTGTACGTTTGTATGTTGTTGTGATGCTGCCTGTATGTTTTTGTTATGGTGTTTGTATGCTGTTGTGATGCTACTTGTATGTTGTTGTGATGCTGTTTGTACGTTTGTATGTTGTTGTGATGCTGCTTGTACATTTGTATGTTGTTGTGATGCTGCCTGTATGTTTGTATGTTGTTGTGA